TTTTCTCTTTCCGCTTCATACATCCTGTAATCACGGACAGATTATGGGAGCTGCGCTCGCGTCTGTACTTCTGTATGATTACATTGCGCACTAAGTCCCACCCGGCTGACACAACCCGGGCCTTATGTAATCGCGCACAAGCGCTCCCACTTTGTCTCGCTACCACCTCTGGATGCGAACGGTTGTGTCGTCAAATGGATTGGGAGGACAGTGAGTCAGTTCGTTAGTTATTTCGAAAATTAGTCAGTCGGGTTCGTTGGAAATGCTTCATTCGTCAATTGTTCAGTAGGTCAGCCAGTAAATTGGATTATGAATTGGTTTGTTAGTCAGTCGGTCGCACAGGCGGACAGTAACTTGGTTGGCTGGTGGCTCAACCAGAGCATTACTTTGGCGGTTGTTGAGTCGGTCGGTCAGACGGTGACGCACGCGGTTGATTGCTCGGCGGCTCACTAAATTGAACAGACATTGGTTTACTTGGTTGTTTGGCTTGTTAGTTGGTTTGTAGATCACTCAACCAGTGAGGTCGCTAGCTCGGGGATCTTGCAGTTGGCCTCCATGTTTTTGTTCCGATAAAACCCCCATTTGGAGTGGAAGAAAAGTTGATTTGTACACTGTTGGTGCGTCAAAGCCATCGACGGGAGCGTAAAACGACTTTTCAGCAACTTTATGATCCGAGGGAGACACAAAGAACGCTGCGGTCAAGCCTGACAGCTGACGGCTACGTCAACACTTTTGAGCGCAAACGTGCCAACCGCGCAAATATGCGGCCGGGTGTAAAAAATGGGACGACACCCTGAGGACGGCGTGGCCTCAACAAGTAAACCGCCCAAAAAAAAACAAAAAAAAAAACATGATAACATTGTGACCACTTGAAACATTGTTAAGTGTTACGCTTCACAACCAGATAGCCCGACAGAGAGCAACAACCGAGAATTGAGTTGAGTTGAGTTGAGTTGAGTCTTTGCATATCAGGAACTGGTAAACTTCCTTTCATTTCACTTTATGGCATCTTGACGGTTGGCCAACATTTTTTTATTGCCCAAAAAAAAAAAGCAGGTCATGTGATAAAGCCAAGCAACTGTTCACTCCAGTCAAGGACGCTCTTATCGCTTTCTACCTCTCTGGCCTCTTCGTGTGGCACTTCCGTGGGCCCGTCTCCTGTCGTCTTAGTTAGTTCGTATACCATTGCACTTATTAGGTAGTTAGTTGGTTAGTTAAGGGGGTGGCTGGATAATCAGTTAGGTGGTTCATAAATTATGCTGGTCGGTTTGTTTGTCAGTCAGTAGGTCAGTCGTGAAATTTGTTGGTCGTGCGTGTGTGTCCACACGGGTGTCTGTGTGTGTGTGTGTGTGTGTGTGTGTCACACCACTAGCCGACACATTCCAAACATTGAGGACCACGGTGACCTCCAAAGGTCACGATTCCTTGTTGCGCCGGTCTGCCTGGCAACAAGCACGGTGGGACATCAAAGTTGCGCACGTCAGGGTCACGACGAAGAGGCATGTTAATGAGTTGGGGGCTTCGCTAATGAGTTGAAACCAGCGGCGAGACGTTCACACTTTTACAAAGATCAAGCAACTCACCTTCCATCCACGCATCAATAGTAGCGCAACAACTCTTGATATGAATGCGAAAAACTTTTGCCAAAATGTCCTGACATCCCCCCCCCGTAATCAACAACAACAACAAAATTTGGTGCCCAAGTCAAAAATGGAATTCAAAATGGAAAAACAACACAGTCGTACCTCCAATTGAAAGTTTTGATGACAACTTTCCAGACATGTAATATGGCCTCGCATGATGTTTAAATCTACAAAAATATGCTTTTTTTTTTTTTTTTTTGGCTGAACCGATAACCAAGCGTGAAATAGAAATGACAGCAAAGCACACGGCTCACATCTCAAAGTAAATGCTTCCCAGATACGGTATGTAACTATGTTGTCAATATGTCCTCATATGACAAAAATAATCAACCAAAAATAACATATTTATTTATTTTTCTCGACCGGGAAACAACAAAAATCACATTTCACCAAACCACATCGAGCATGACGTCAAATTAAAAGTCCGGATTAGAGCCTTCCATATCGGTGACGATATTGTCGCGAAATCCGCAAACGATGTACAAACTCATTTTTCTTTTGCGGGTTGCGGAGTCCGGTCGGCATCTGCCAGACGAGGCGCTTGCTAATCGACGAGAGCCGAGCATGCTGGGAAAGTGAGCCGGCAATAACAACAAAAGGAGAAAGTGGAGGAGGCCCGCTTGGGTTACGTCTGCATCTGCGCACCGCGCCAATCGCCCGGCTGTCAATCCTCGGACATCTCGCAACATTCCTCGCTGCCGCACCCCTGCCGGGGCATGCCATATTGCATGTTATTTGCTTAAACGTCACAGGAGGGTTACGACCACAAAGAGTGCAGCGGGGAAGGCACGTCCCGCCGTGCGCCGAAACACAAACGGAGACTGCGGATTCCCAAAGTGGTGCGCCGCAGGCGGTGCGCCGGATTGGAAGGGTGATCTGTTACAATAATTATGTGTGAAACTTTGGAGCAATATACGATGGATCTGTGAGCTATGAAGAGCTAAAATAAAAAAAAAAAGAAGTGAGATTTTAGTTCTATTACACTCAACTGTTATCTTTTTTTTTTTTTTTATTATTCACAATGTTTCATCTGATTCAGAGTAATTAAAAGATTCATCAATTATTGGAATAATCGCATGTTTTAGCCCAAGCTTTAACTCTTTAACGCATTTTATGCAATTGAAACAAAAAACCTGAAAAACTATCGGGTGAGACGGCGTATCCCAAGTCTGAGGGTGTCGAGGGTGGTGCGTGGTGGAGAAAAAAAAAAAACAAATACTGATAACCGTTTTGGCCTTTGTTGTGCGCCATCTGTCGGGGGGGTAAGTGGTTCAAAAATAAGTCTGTGAAAGTCTGACGTGAACTGTTGAGTGTTTTCCTGAAGAAATGAGGGGCGTGCAGTGGTTGGTGCGTGCTAATCACATTGTCCCGTAACGACTGCGGCACAAAAGGGGTGTATCGGCGTGGATGCTAGCAGCGCCGCGCTAACTCCTCCGGAGAGCACGCACATGCTGTCCGCATGCTCAGCTATTGGTGTCATGCTTGTGGAGGCTCTCAGTTATTGGTGTCATGCTAAGCTACATTTGCGGTTGAGTTTGAATGCGGTGCACCACGCAGTCACACCATTTATTTTTTTTTAATGTCAGAGATTTGATGAGGCCATGCTAACTGTTCATCATCTTTGAATGATTTTATGTGTATAACGTCTGCGATGTCCTTGTGTGACGATTTGCAGTGATAAATTCCTGTTAAGACAGTTAAATTTTAATGCGATTGGCTGACAACCAGTTCAGGGTGTCCCCGGATTGGCTTCATGGAGCCCGCGACCCACGGAAGGATAAGCGGTTCTGGTCATGGGTGGATGTTACAATGCTGGTTAATACATCACAGCACAACATCCCAATGAAGCAACGGCTAACCAAAGGAGCAACACACTTTTGTTTTACGACTTTTGACACTGGGGGAATGAAGCTCACAAAGAAAACAAACGGTGTGTGTGTGTGTGTGTGTGACACGATCAACAACAACAAAAACAACACACTGATGGCTCTGCATGGTGCCGAGAAAGGAATTTAGCCTCGCTAGTGTGAGTGAGGACAAAGCATTAGCGCTATTGCTGGGGGGGTGGGCTTCAAACTTTGCAGCCAGAAAGCACATTTGGCGAAGATGCGTGTGCTGGCAAAAGCAGCGGGATGAATTCTAAAGTTTTTCAGCAATCTGATGATCTGTGCATATAGCGCCACATGCTTCGGAACTAGAGCTCGGACTTGCACCCAAAATTCACGTTAAATCAGGATGTATTGTATTGTATTGCGTAGCTACTCGTTTACCAATTCAACAGCGAGTCCTGAATCAACTTGAATGGGTTACTAATTATACTTTCACTGAAAAACATGTCATAGTCCAAAGAATGAAAAAATCTTTTTGATCATAATGGGAAATGGAATGCGCTTTTATCTACACCCTATGTTGTCCAAAGCCTTTAATCAAACCTCATATTCCCTTTTTTTTGTTTGTCAAACAGACCAGAGTGTACATTGACGCACTAACGCAGCAAAGATGATCCTTTTTAGTCTCTTCATCTTTAACCTTGCTATTTAATAATTTTGTCAGTGATATCACTCAAACAATAAAAATGTTCTTAGAAAGAAATCAAGTTTATGTGTGGAGTGACAGCTGGCGCACAATGCGAATGCCGTGAATAGAGACGAGGTCGAGGTGGAAGACGGGCAGCTAAGGCGTGGTTGTGGACGACGCATGCGTTTATGAGCTCTCGTTCAAGGACATATTGCCGCCTTTACTTTGCTTTATTCCCTGTGCCATCGCCTCGTTGTCGCCTGGTAGCGCGTGGGCCAACCTGAGCTACTGATGCCTATTCCCGACACCACGCCGTCCCACTCGAATAGACTTTTAGCACTGCCCCACACAACAACCCTGCTACCGTAGCAGCCGACCTACCTAAACCTCGTCCCGACTTTCCATTTTACTTTGGCAGCCTCCTACTGCACATCATTTTTCTTCCTACCCGGCTAATGTGGTTACCTACTCTGATTTCCTTTCACACCTTACTACGTACTATGTTCACTGTCGCTCCGTACTAGAGGGAAGGTATCACCCCCTAGTGGTCTATGCCCAACACTACAGCATATCCGGCTCATCGTAGTTGACATTCATATTAACTGTATTCATATTATGTGAACACAAGCCATTTTTTTTGTAATTAACACGCATTTATTTGATCACAGCCTCAAAAGAACTCAAAGTGGCGATTATTATTTTGTTGTTTGGTGCTATTAAGATTTTTTTTTTAAAAAAAAGGGTACACACAATGCAAAATGTTGAAATCGCACAGTCTCAAAAAGAAGAAAAAAAAAAAGAAAAGACGGCCAAAAAAAGAGGTCAGTTGTTTTTTTAGGGGTTCAGCCCACCCGCAGGGGTGGCGCTACGAGGACGACGCCGTCACCTCTGACGAATAGCATGGGGATGTTCCTCTTGGTTGACTGTCAAAAACAAAGGCACACAATTATTATTATTATTATTATTTTTTTTTTTACACAAAACTACTAATTGCACCTCCATCTCTAATTACATCTAGCTTTCCATATTTATGAGCCAGTAATAGGAAAGTACAAGTGATGTAGAGACCTTGTATAGTTCTTCATACGTCTCCTCGTCAATCTCCACCGTGGTCACCGTCTCTTCCACATCTCCCAGAATCATGTTCAGGTGCTGATCATACGCCTGATGTGCAGCAAAACAACACAATCCGCAAAGGCACCCTGTGAGCGTGAGTGTGTGCGCACGCGTGTGCGTGTGTGTGTGTACGCATGCATGTATGGTAAGTCTGTGCGTGTATGTAAAAGTGTTTTCTATTCACGTGTGTATTGCGTGCATGCATGTGTGTGTTTCGCGAAAGTGTGTTTGTGCATGTAATTTACATGCAGCCGTCCTCGCAGCTCTCGGTCATTCCTCATCTTGACGTAGATCCTCTCGTCCAGACTGAGTCTGATCAGGTCGAGCGGTTCTTCGACGGTGTTAGTGCTCGGTTGCTAAACATATCGAAATATCATTTCCATCAATAGTATGTTTAGCTTGGTACTGGACTTATATATATCTATATATATATATATATATGTTTTACATTTGTTACATTTAACATTTAAAATACAATATCAAAATGAACGTAAAGTGCAACAATCCGTTTCAAGCTTGATCAATAGTTAACACACAAAATAAACACTTCCCAAACGACAGTTTTTTTCTTATTTTTATTGTTTGAATGTTTAATAATTCCCTTTGTTCGATGTATATGAAACTCTAAATGAATCATTTTTCCACTGTTCAAGTGGATACAACAGCACTTGCACTCAGAACATGTGTTTGACTCACCTGTGCTTTACTAAGAACAAAGTAGTTCTTTGAGTTGACGCCTTGGGTTGAATAGCTAATTTCTAAGCGACACATTATTTATTATTAATTATTATCACTCAGTTTCCGAAAAATGCTCGACATGCTAACGTAAGGCCGACGCGGCTAAGCTAGCATGTTTACCGGGCCGTCGCCGGGTTAAACGACAACAAAACGGACAAATAAACACCGCAAATATACGCAAAAGGAGCAGCGACAGCGACGTTTAAAAAATCTTGTTTGTGGTGATACTTCGCAAAGGCGCCTTGTGAGCTCAAAACTAGAAAAAAAAAGCCAATGAATGCACATACCTGCTCCACTTCGTCCGCCATGATTTTTGAGTCGTGAATACGTCACGGTGACATCACCGTGGTTGCCAGCTCTATCAAATCAAATTACGCACAATTTGTCGACCAATCTAAATAAAGGTTTGAAAAAAAAAATCTATCATCAAAACGCACTCAATGTTCTTTACCTCAGGTGGCTTTAGTCCGCACACACAGTACTGATACTCGACTAAAAAAAATACTCCCCTATAATATTAGCACATTAGTGCAGTGATTAAACTCCCGACCTCAAGACTGCTCCACTTCGTCCGCCATGATTTTTGAGTCGTGGATACGTCACGGTGACATCACTGTGGTTGCCAGCTCTATCAAATCAAATTACGCGCAATTTGTCGACCAATTTAAATAAAGTTTTGAAAAAAAATCTATCATCAAAACGCACTCAATGTTCTTTATCTCAGGTAGCTTTAGTCCTCACACACAGTACTGATACTCGAGGAAAAAAATACTCCCCTATACTATTAGAACATTAGTACAGTGATTAAACTCCCGACCTGAAGAAAATGCAAAAAGCAAAAAAAAAAAAAAAAAAAAAAAACACGCTCTAAAATGTCCTTTAGTATAAAAATAATAAGAATGTTTTACTTTCAGTTAGATACAATCCCCAGTTATATAGAAGTCAAACCTATTATGGTCAAACCTAAAATATGAAAATGGTCTGGGATGTTACAGTCCCGTCAGAAATCTGTCAGCCCCACAGCGTTTTATTTGATATTCTAAATATATTTATAAATTATTTTCTCACTACCACCCCCCCTTGAAAAAAATCCGGCAGCTCAGTCACGATGAAGGTAACTCATCTGCTTGTAGACATGAGTAAAAATTAAACACAATAAAATTCAATTATGAATTAGAAAAAAAATATCCTGCCAACATGTAAGGGCCCGAAACAAGTGGGTAACAGTGCGCATGCGTTACGGCCAACCTGCTGTGTCGCTTCCGCTTAACACCAAGCACGCCACTGGTCAAACCTAAAATATGAAAATGGTCTGGGATGTCGCTTCACGGGCTGTCGGTTTACAGTCCCGTCAGAAATCGGTCAGTCCCAGTTAAGCCCCCCACCCCTCTTGAAAAAAATCCGGCAGCTCAGTCACGATGAAGGTAACTCATCTGCTTGTAGACATGAGTAAAAATTAAACAAAATAAAACTCAATTATGAATTAGAAAAAAAATCCTGCCACCATGTAACGGCCCGGAAACAAGTTGGTAGCAGTGCGCATGCGTTACGGTCAACCTGCTGTGTCGCTTCCGCTTAACACCGCGCCATTCCGGCAATAGTGCGCATGTGTAACAACCAGACTAGCAAGCCGTTTTACCCCTTCCCCCTTCTTTTCCTTTCGAACTTTCCACGACGGCGTTCGGTCTCTGTGACTAAGTATGACTATTTATCTTCTCACGTCCGACTTGATGACTTTTCTGGTGCCACTCGGCGTATTGTTTGAGGCTTGTAAACGGTGATTTGAAGGCGCTGTGCTACGGTGGCGTTAAGAGTAAGAATGAAAGGACGAACACGAGGCTCGGTTTCTTTGAAATGTAGTATAGTGTGCTCACGTGAACTACCCTGGCTATCCATTTCAAAACTTTGTCCACCACCGTTTAATGTGATCTGGCATTGTAACAGGGGTGTGCAGACTTTTTATATGCATGTTTTTCTTTTCCGAGAGCCTCCCCTCCAGTCCGGTTCAGTCTGACATACTGGTTCTGGTTACGTTGGTGCAGGAGGCAGAGCAGTCCAGCAGTGGTGTTACCCATTCCACACTTAGCCCCCTCCCAACCCTGGCTTTGTGCTGGAAGAGAACCCTGCCACATCAAAATCCGATAATCACCATCGTCATAGGTGCCAACACTATCACAGGCATAAACGTTTCATTGGGTTAACCGTCAATGGTGTCATCAAAATGAAGCATGAAAAAAAGAAGTTGACGTCTTAATATTGAAGGTTAAAAGCAATAAAACAAATGGGAAATTAATTGAGCACTATTTTGTTTCTAGAAGCTATAACCGAAAAGCTAATCATGCGAACGCGAATGTTGCTCACGCGTGTGCCTCATTTTTTGCAGGCAGGAGGTGTCATGTCTGACCTTGGCCACCTGATGGCGCCACAGCACCAGAAGCAGGAGTCCATGCTTGAATTTTCGTTGATAATAAAGCTGTTCTTTATTTAAAAATAGTGAAAAATGTCTGTTTTCATCACTTGTGTGCACTTCACATTGTTGGATGGAATTGGGAGCTGATGACACACAAGAAGTGGACCCGAAATACACATTGAACCGTACACAATATTGGGAGTATGAAAAGGCAATTGTTTGTACAGTACTTATGGGTGTGGACATTGAAATTAAGTGAAAAAGAAGCACAGATAAAAGTGAATCTGACAAAGGGTTAGAACAAAGCCTGAAAAAGAAGCACAGCATGTAGTCTGAAAGCCGCGTGTTAGATTTTAAGCCTGAAAATGAAGCACAGTGATTGTAGTGACAGCTTTACATATAAAAATTAAAGTGAGCACAGCAATTGTGCTACCGCCTGAAAAAGAAGCACAAAGTGATAGTAGTTACAAAACATGACAGCAGCAAGCGATACAAAATATGTGATAGAAGTATTACATAGATGCCTGAAAAAGAAGCACAACGTTTTAAAAAAACAGGAACGAGTCAAAAAAAAGCAGCATGGGCTGAAAGAATTGATCGCTGCGTTCTATACAAACACCTGAAAAAAGAAGAACATGAACAGCACACAAATCCCTGAAAAAGAAATACAGCGTAGCAGTGCGAAAGCATAATAACAGTGTGCTACAGCGAAAGCCTGAAAAAGAAACACGCTGTTCGCATGACGTGAAATTTGCGCCAAGCAAAAGCGCGAAAAAAACGGCCGTCATTAGAGAACACGTGACAGCTGTGCGCTGCACGAAAGACGGAAAAAGAAGCACTGTGGTTGTTGTTTTGTGTGCCGTCAGTAATTGTCATATGACGGCTACTTCACCCGAAGATAGAAAGACAAGAACGCACAGCCAGCCACACACGCATTTCTTGTTGGTGTCTATTTTGGGGTCCACGCTGGGGGGGGGGGGGGGGGGGGGGGGGGGCGAGAACGTGCACGTGCAAAACACTTTGGCATCAAGCAGGGAACGAGGGCATGCGCGCGCGTGCAAGCATATGATGGAAAAAGGGAGCTGGCTTGGGCCCAGTTGGCTCTGTGAATCGGTGCACAAATTAAAGAGGGAGACTTTGAAGCGAAAACACGCGCACACTCAAGAGCCAACAACAATACAACAACAAAAGTCTCAATCTTAGGAGAAATTTGCGATGTGATCTCAAAAAAATGCAGTTGCATTTTTCAGAAAATAAAAACCTGAGATGAGATTGGCATTTAAAAGAGTAAGTAAAATAAAATAAAGTCATTTTTCATGATAATTCAATCTTATTTCATTTTGACTTTTTTTTTATGAACCCTGAAAGCTCATGTATGATATTGACAACGATGAAAACAAAGGACGTTTTCATTTTAAAGATTGTTCGTTTTACAAATGTCAAATCTAGTTCCCGTTTCTTTCTCAAGTCATTTTTGTTTTGATTTTATTCCATCCATCCATCCATCCATGCATCCATCCCTTTTCAACACCGCTTATCCTGAAGAGGGTCGCGGGGGAGTTTATGGAACCCATCCCAGCTGACATGGGCAGACTACACCCTGAACTGGTCGCCAGTCAGTCGCAGGGCACATCGAGAGACAAATGACCATTCACACTCACATCCACATGTCATTATTTTACATGAGCTCAAACACACTACCTATCTATCTATCTATCTATCTATCTATCTATCTATCTATCTATCTATCTATCTATCTATCTATCTATGGATATATATATATTTTTTTATATATATATATAATAGATATTGTCATACAACCAAATATAATCATGACCCTGTACCATTCATATCGTCAGCGTACACGAAGAGTTGCAGTTGTCCACTCACAGAAATGCAGACATCACATCCACTGTGTGTGTGACTACCAATTGAACAATTCACACAGACGCACACGCTCACGCACACACCCTCACATTTGCTGCTGTCGGTGACGGAATTTGTCTCAGCGGGATCCAGTCGACAGGTGGTCGTCATTTTTAGATCCTCTGTGACCTCACACGCCAATACACAAATTGCGTATGCCCGCGGGTATGTGTGTGCGGGTGTTTCTTTTATATTCGTGGGTGTGTTACATTCTGTGCATGAATATTTGTGAATTGCGTGTCTTTGGGAATGTGGTGTGTATGTGGTGGTTTGTGCTGCCTTTGTGTAAGAGTGTGCGTGGTTTGTTTTTGAGAGTGAATCGTGGATGCGTGTGGTGCGCTTGTGCATATGTGTGTGACCACATTTCACATCTCACATGGCCCCCCCTCCCCTGCCACGCCCCATCCTGTGCTTCTATTTAAAGGGCCCCCAAGCGGGCGTCTCACCCACTGACCGAGTGAGCGAGCGACGAGCCGGAAGGCTTGCCACCGTTTGCGGGAAGATCCGGAAGCTGACCCGAAAGGATCGTCAGGCTTTAGCAACAGATTTGCGACATCCTCCGCCATATCTCTTAGATCGGGACGAAGCGGGCTCGGGCGGCGTCCCTCCTGGAACGATGAGCGGCCCCCAAACGGAGCCCCCCGCGTTCAAACGCGCGGTGAGAAAAATCCGATGCGCCGCCATGGTGGCCAGCCTGGCCAAGAGTTGGCAGGGTTGGGCCAACGAGCACGCCGACAAGCAGGACGCCGCTCCTACCGGGTGGATGCCTTGCTCAACGGGCCAGAAGGACGCAACCGAGCGGCGCCCTGTGGACAAAGTCGCGAAACCCAGGAAAATGGACTCGAGTGACGCCGATCCCATCCGGAGTGTTTCCATCTCGAAAAGCGTTCAACCCAAACTGAGCGAGTGTGGCGCGGATCTGGTCAATGCCATCCGCGGGAAGATGGAGTCGGGTCCCGAGGATAGCAAGCCCTTCCTGGGTAACGAGTCGCCCACGCGGCGGCGCCACATGAGAGCGCTGCAAGTGAGCGGCGCAGGCGGGAGTGGCATCATCCACGAAAGGAAGTTGATGCTGCAGGACAGGAAGTTGAGCTCCAGTAACAGCAGCCTGGACACGGAGGACAGCGGTTTGGGGGACGAGGTGGTGCCCGGAGACGGCGCAGACGCCAAGATGGAAACGACCAATGTCAAGTGTAAAAAAGTTGGCTGCAGGCCCACGGTATTGCTAAGATGAAGCAGACACTTGTGATATTGCAGTGTTACAGCGCAGTATGGTGTTGTGGCCACCCTGAACTGGATTATGACGCCGTGTTACGTTGTAGCGTTACATTGTCGCGTTACGTTGCAGCGTTACATTGCAGCGTTACGTTGTAGCGTTACATTGTAGCACTGTAGTGTTACGTTGTTGCATTAGGTTGTCGCATTATGCTGTAGCGTTACGTTGCAGCGTTACGTTGCAGCATTACGTTATAGCACGTTGTTGCAGCACTGTAGTGTTACGTTGTTGCATTAGGTTGTCACATTATGCTGTAGCGTTACGTTGTAGCGTTACATTGTCGCGTTACGTTGCAGCGTTACATTGCAGCGTTACGTTGCAGTGTTACGTTGCAGCGTTACGTTGCAGCGTTACATTGCAGCGTTACGTTGCAGCGTTACGTTGCAGCGTTACATTGCAGCGTTACGTTGTAGCGTTACGTTATCGCGTTACATTGTAGCACTGTAGTGTTACGTTGTCGCATTAGGTTGTCGCATTATGCTGTAGCGTTACGTTGTAGCGTTACATTGTCGCGTTACATTGCAGCGTTACATTGCAGCGTTACAGCTGGAGGACAACGTGTTCCGGAGCGTGACCTTCAGGTGCAGCAGGAGGTAAAAACAGGTTGAAGGTGAAGGCAACTGTGAGTGACAGCTGACATCTGGTTGGAAAAAAAAGAAGACATGACACAGGCGAAAAACATTCACTTTCAATTACCACATCACTCACGGCAAAACAAGAAGCACTCAAGCCACTCCACAAAAAGTCACAACGATCCCTGTAGGACATTTTCTTTTCCGTGAACGACCAGAAGACCTCGGGTACCAGGTTGAATACTTGTCAAAGTAAGAGACGTAGGCAGGTGCTAGCAATGGAAAGTTCTCCAAGCCACGAGGACACGTGTTGCACTGTGCGAAAGCTCATGCCTAAAAATGTTAGGGTCAAAGTTCAGTTCATCTTAGTTATTTCCAACACTTTTGATCAACGTATAGCCTAAAAACACACCAAAAGTTTTTGGTTGGATCATTCCCAGTGTCAAAATGATGCGGGTGGTTACAAAGGCCCGCCCCTTTGAATATGGTAGGCATTAAAATAGTCCATTTATGTTTTTTTCCAACGTTCCCAAAACACTAATAACCGCAGACTGCCCCAAAACACCCAAAAACTGAATAAATATCAGGACGCCGATTGCACAGTGAGAAAACTTCCCCCTAAAAACATTGGGGCAGAAGTTCCATTGAACCCAACATGACGTTGCTTTCAAATTTATTTCTGACGGCAAAAATCTGTGCACAGCGGAAACGTCACGATCCCGTGGCAACGATTTTCCTGTGTCGTCGAAAAAGGCTTGTTGTCAGAGGTGTCAAATCCAGGTCCAGAAAGTACAAACCTCGCCATGGTTTGGCTTTAGGCGCAGGCGCTTCTTCTCAACCATCAGTAAATGAACTCACTTATCTGTCAGTTGAGAAGCAGGGTGTGTGTGTGTGTGTGTGTGTGTGTGTGTGTATGTGTCGAAAGCCAAACCGTAGCACGGTTTTTAACTTTGTGGACCTGGATTTGATACCTGATCTCTCCATCAGATTAAGATCACCACCACGGGTGACATTAAGGGTCGCTGGCAGCAGTGGTCCGAGGAGCACACGGAGGGCCAGAAACTCAATCCCTTCAGCGAAGACTTTGACTACGACTACGCCATGAGCCTGCGCCTGCGCAAGGGCGACAGCGGTTACGGGCGCCCCAAAGAAGGCTCCAAGACGGCAGAGCGGGGCGACCGTGCGCACAAGCATATCCACAGGGAGATGGAGGAGATGGTGTGGATCATCCGGGACATGGGCTTCCGGGACGGCGAGGGCCGCGCCACAGTCACCTTCGGGCGCCTCTTCGACCGCTACGTGAAGATCTCGGACAAGGTGGTCGGCATCCTGCTGCGCTGCCGCAAGCATAAGATGCTCGACTTCGAGGGCGAGATGTTGTGGCAAGGACAAGATGACCACGTGGTCATCACCGTGAAAGACTGAGATCGGTTTGGGAGCCACGCGGCGGGCCAGCGGACATGGCGACACTTCATCGAAGGACTCTGTTGGAAAGGTCGCCCTTGCCAATGTTGGCCGAGAAGGTGAAGAAATCCATCCCCTGTATGAACTTCTGTTTTCAGCTCGATTCCACGTCTGTGGGCATTTATCGAGCTCGGAGAAGGATGTGGATTAGACAGTTGGAAACGGAATTGGAATAAACACATTTTTCGTGCTATCTTTTTTTTTTTTTTTTTTTTAATCCATCGTACTTTATTTAATCCAAGTCAAAAATGTGGTCATGTGCATCCAAGTAAATAAACAAGTCGAAAGAAAATGACTTGAGTTAGCAATCACTTGTTGACTTTATGTATTGAATAAATGTGATGCTTCTGATCATTTTCTAAATGTCTTTTTTTAATTTACTTTTTCATTGATGTTCGTCGTGGGAAGCTACATGTTCACCTTGTGCTGAAATCAAACCCGACAGGCCTTGACTCTAACATTCATGTGAACAATTTAAGGCTTTGCCCTTTTAGGAAAAAAATGAATCTAAGAAGACATCATTAAAACGGGAAGTTGACATGCCCCATTATGCTTGGCCGAGGTAACAATTACGATTATGTCATGGGATGTTTGGCACAAAAAACCTCCACAAAAATTCCTTAGATTTTTTTTTTAATTAAATATATTAAATATTTATTTCATAACATCTACATCTCTTCTATTTTTTAAGTTTCTTTTCATTATTGTTTTTTTTTTTTTTGCATTGTTAAAAAAAAAAAAAAAAAGCAGTGATTGCAAATGCTACGAGCATGATGATAATTCAGGCTACAGGCTAGCATGTTAGCATGGGGGCGGAAATTGAATCGCTTTCAAAAACTGCCTTGGCAGCAGTTTTGGGATTTTATTGCTTCTCAGATTGCTTAGGATTTTTGTGAACAAATAATAATAATAATAACAAGAATAATTAATAATAATAATAATAATAATAATAACAATTTCCCTGCAATGCTGCTACTGGAAAACCTGAGGCCAAAATTTTATTTGGGGGAAAAAAAAAATCCTCAAATCAAACCTTTGGAGGATTACAAACTTTTGCTTGTTTGAATCATAAAGGGGAAAAAAGGTTGCTAATAAATATGCTACATCGTGTTTTGTCCCTTAGCTTAGTCTCGTGCTAACTGCTCATTAGACTGCATGCAGATGCTGGCGGCTAACGCTACGAGCTAGCATTCCCGTGTTCCCCGGCTAAATCCTTTGGCTCACATTTGTAAATATTTACACTACGTGAAGAATCATAAAGTGCCCATCACTAAACCACCACACTCCCGCTTCCTCTCGTCACGCTAATGTGAAGCTAACGGCTAACTGACGAAATGTTCCGACACTTCGCAGCGGCTTTTACGTGACGCCACCCCACGATGAAGTGAAGAAAGACACTTGCTGGTCAAAGTTGGCACGTGAGCGACGGTTAGCGATTTTGCCAAAATCGAAACAAGTTGATGAAGTGTACGATAGACGCTACAAGACTTTTCGACAAGAAACAAAAGAGACACACGGGTAGAAGGAATATTCGAGGGCACATTTCACGCCGTCGATGTCACAAGCACAGCTAACAACGTTAGCTCACAATGTCTTGAGATTTTTTTGTCGTTTCGTTTTTTTGCTTCCCTTTTTACATTCATCTTTATAAATCCACGTTCAACCTTCTGCGGCTGGTTGTACATTGTTGTTGCTCTGCTACATTGTCAATCTGTACGTTCAAATATTTCCAGTTTTGAAAAGTGACGGAGTAAAAAGAAAAAAAAGTCCAAAGTGTTTGCTGTGATCGTGTTACAATGTGGGTAACAAGCGGCTCACGTTGACACATTAATGAATAACAAACAAGGTTCTCAAGCTGGAGTCTGTGACATTTTGGGAAGTTTGAGACCTTCGGGGGGGCCAATTCAAAGCGCCGTTATGATTGTGACATATCTTCACATACATGTCACATCCCTGCATGAATAAAGTTGTTGTTTTATAGAACAGAAGGCGCATTATTACAGGAATAAAGTCACTTTTGTTAAACAAAAGGCACAGTTTTTGAGATGATAGTCCCTAACCTTTTTGAGAAATGAAGGCGTTCTTTCCAGATTGTGTAATATTACTTTGATCTTTTGAAAGATTGAAATATTTTCTGGCTCAAGAAAAATCAATAAGATTTTTTTTTTCTTTGAAACAGGCAAAATTTCGCTAACATTTTGCAGTTTTACGATTTATTTATTTATTTATTTGCTTTTGAAATTAGTTTTTGTGTTTACTTTGGTTAAAAACAAAAACAGGGTAATTTTTTTTTTTTTTGCGTTCTTAATGAGGTTTTTTTTCTTTAGTGAATAATATTTTTTACGGTTATGACTTATTTCTTGAACAGCTTTTCAATTCCGACTGCATTTAGGGCTGCACACGGCCGTGACATTGAACTGGTTGGGTGTTAAGGAGGGTCATGTGAAAATGTTCTCCCCTGGACCCAACATATTTGAGAACTCTTGAGCGAACACAAAAAGGACGGCGACGACACTGTGGAAGAAGGAGACAATGTGAGAGAGTGTTTGATGGATGCTGAACCTGCAGCGTCGCATTGGTCCAAACAGGAGGCAGCATCCTCATCCGAGTGGTCCCAAAAGAGAGGACGAGAACCTGTGGAGAGTCCAAAGTCTGGCGGATCTGACGGTGCCTGTCCCAGGTGTGTCCGCGGAGGTCTCAGGGGCGCTCGCAGCAGGGCCCCACGGCGCTCTCCAGTGACATCTGCGACGAGTGGCGCAGGAGGGGCGCGCTGGTGGGCTCCACCATAGACGAGGTAGGGAACAGCTTATACCAGCCAATCACCATGCTGCTCAGGTCCAGCTCCTCCAATAGGATGCGGGCCACCCCCATGAAGCACTTGCGCTCCATGCGCCCGTAATTGCCCCAAACGATGAGCTGCATGGAGCCACAAGAACCACAAAAAAAAAAACGTTTCAGGTTCTTGTTGGCCTTTCTTCGTTGTTTTTGAAAATCCAGCCCCTCAGGTCATTTTTTCTTGGCAATATGAAATGTGCACCCACCCCAAAACAAAAACAAACAACAACAAAAAGACCCAAGTTGGCCATTTTGGTTTTAAATAAACATTTGGTGCAATTTTTGTTGGGGTTCTTGAAAGACAACCTCCTCCTGGAGATTTTTGGGTGATAATTCGATTCTATTGCATCTGAAAACTTCATTATAGGACATTTGCACGTAGACTTGCTGTTTGGCGTACCTGGACCACCTTCCCCTGAGGGCTCTCAGAGAAGACCAGCACTTGGTTGTAAAGAGGGTCCAGAGACTTCCTGGCGGACTTGGTTTTCTTCTTGGCCACGCAGGCGCCGTTCTCCAGCAGGTAGACTTTGATGTAGGCCGCTGCATGCACCCGAGTACAAGCAACACAGGAAAACGTCAATTGGGCTTCATTTGACACACAAATAAATCCTGGGGGGGAGAAAAAAAAATCTTTTCTGTCATGAATCTGTTCTTGTGTGTCTCCAGCAGGTGGCAGAGGAGGGAGGGCCTTCCTTCCAGCATGCACACCTGCTGCCAATGTTACTCAGCCGAGTATTTAAGGACTTCCTAGTAGGCGAGTCTCCGTTGGATGATTCATCTTGCGCACGACTCTGTCCTGAAGTGGTGAATTCTTCTAGAAGGCTCACGTTTGCTCTCCGTTTTTCTTTCACCACGTTTTTTTTGCATTTGCTTTTGTAAGTAGTCGTCGTTGTAATCATAGTCATCATTAGTATTATATGTGTTTTGGCTCGGTCTTGTATTTTCACAAGAAGCAATTTCCATTTGTATCCATCCAAGCATTTTTGGTTTGTCTCATTTTCCTGGTTATTGTAACCAGCACCGTTTGCTGTACTTTGTCTGTCTTGCGCATTTTTTTTTCTTTTTTTTGTTAATAAACTCTTTTTGTTCAAATTCCATTTGAGTCCACGATTTTAGAGTCTGATTCTGACCGGATTATTCCAGACCCCTGACACTTGAACTGAAATTTCCAATATGTGACCAAACAAATCAACAAAAAGACATACATGTACATGCTGTCATGTTTTTGACTGATTTATTTTAAATTAAAATGGTATGTTATAGTTGTCATTTTGTGTGTATGTATGAATATGGACCTTTTAATGTCAACATTGTATTATTTTTTTAAACTTAAGAAGTTGAAGTAGCAGATTAGCCCGGTAACAGCGGTGTTCCTTGCTGTTGATTTCACACAGAGAGCCTCCAAATCCGGCAAGAAAACTGACAGCAGAGTAAAATTGGCTCCGTCTCCTGTGCGTGTGTGTGTTTTTTTTTTTTTGTGTGTGTTTTATGGTCATGCTCTTTTGTCTTTTTATTTTTTGGCGGTGTTATCCCTTTTTGGCCTGGATGCTTTGTTCTTATGCAACACCGCGGCATTCGGCATTATGCAACCGCACAGATTTAATAGTTTCTCGTTTCATAATTCAACCTGCGGCCGCTCTTGTTGTCTGCGTTTTGTCCGTGTCTTTACCGGGAGGCCCCTTGGAGCCCATTTTCATGGTGAGTCCTCTGGCCTGGACCACCTCCACCTCCAGACCGCCGTTTCTCTCCATCAGGCCGATCTCCACGTCACCTGAATGCGATCGGTCACAATCAGTCAGTCCGTTCGTTGACATAGTGACAAGAACATGATCTGTTTGCAAATTTAAAGTCCCCATGAAGTAAACATAAATACATACATCTGATACCACACTCACTCTCGCAATGTTTTTCTTTCTTTCTATCTCTTCCTTCCTTTTATATTTCAAAGGAATGTTTGACTGAACTATTGGACCTCGTTCTGTCGATGTTGCCGTGCCAATGACGCCGAGGCTCCGCCAGTGAGGAAAGTGACCCACTTACAGCACGTCCCCACACTAGATGACTGACTGACGCGACGCTGTGTGGATGGGACAAACGCCCTCAAGTGGTCATCGCGGGTGTGACAAGCAGGTTTAAGGTTCGGTTTTGGGTCAGTGGGTCAGGGTTAGATCAGGGCTCGGGATCCATAACCTGTACTGCACATGAGGACAGCATTGCGGAGTGTGTCTCTGGGTTGTGGCTCACTTTCTAGATCAGGGCTCGGGATCCATAACCTGTACTGCACATGAGGACAGCATTGCGGAGTGTCTCTGGGTTGTGGTTCACTTTAGGAAATGATCCCACCGCCTCCAGTGTTGCCATTCGAAGTGCTAACATGCTAGATGCTAATGCTGCCTCTCACCCATTGATGTCATGGCCAAAGTCTGCCGGCCGACAAACTGGGCCGGTCCCATCCCGTCCAGGAAGTCGCTGAACTGGGCATCAGAGGCCAGGCACATGCCGCTATAGTTGAGGCTGCAAAAAAATAAAATAAAAAAAAACGCCAGATAATGTTCAGATGCACAACGTCGGCAAACGTTTTCAGGATATTTACGAGAGGATTCTGGCGAGGCAAAAAGAAGAAGCAGCAATTGGACCGGCGTTTTAATTAAGTGCCCACCATCTTGGCAGTCGTTAGTGAATAATTTACAGTCTCAGTGCAACAAAATCACTTAGGCAAGATTAGTCGTTTACGCTATGCTTTTAAATTTTTACATTTGTTGAGTGTTCTCATTTAATAGCAAAACACCAGCCAGCTCGAATCAGATCATACAGTATGCATGAATACAGAATTTTCATGAAACAAAAAAATGTGACAATGCCCCTTGGAAAAGGCCAGCGGGGCCGCAAAATGTCCACTCGAACCATAATGTCAGACTTCCTGTGCCTTTTCAGGCATGACTTCATGAGATGTTTTTGTGGGGCTACACATGAAAGACATGCCAAATAAAATGTAACATTACTCAGTCAAACTGGATTCAGGGGTTGAATTTTCAAAAATGGCCAGTGAGACCGCACATTTTCCCGCATCAAACCAAAGTGTCTGAATTTCAGTGTCTTTTTGGGCATGGCTTCTTGAGAATTGTTTTGTGGGTCTAATCATAACAGTCATGCCTACCAAATTAATGTTGCTATCTCGGCTGGCTACAGGAGCTAAAGGAATTTTCAAAGCTAAGCAATGACCACTCGAAAACAACAAAAACGTGCCAAAAATGTCCTCTTCAAACCAAAATGGCTGACTTCCTGTGTCTTTGGGGGCATTGTTTCTTGAGTCTTTTTTTATGGGTCTACTCATGATAGAAATGTCTAGCAAATTTCATGTTGCCAAGTGAAACTGGAATCACTTTCTTCATTTTTTTTTTAATCATTGCAAGTGGCCTACTGAGGAGTCAGCAAACCTTTCAGGCATGGTTCACTAAAACAAAATGTTTTGAAATTTAGAGCTATCCATCTGTTTTGTGTACGGGCGCCAAATTTGGTCGCGATCAAACAAAATCTACTGGACGAGTCTTTGAAGAACCCCGGGCTAAATGACGATACAAAACGGTCACTTCCTGCGTCTTTTGTAGGCATGGCTTTTTGAGACATCCCTTTTATTTATGTATTTATTGATTTATTTTTGCATGACTTCATGATCGACATGCTCACCAAATTTCATGCTGCAAAATGAAACTGCGTTCAGGGGAGCTGAATTTTTGAAAGAGGTAATCGCGTTTGTCAAGTGTGCTGGTTTAGCTGATCTGAGCTGTATTGAGGTCAGGCTACATCATTTTATATACGTATGTGTGCTGTATATTAATAATGCAATCAGTCCATCCACATTAGCCCAGTGAGTGAGTGAGTGGGTATTACAGTTTGAGATTATAACGCTGCTGTGGGGAATCACACGGGAGGAAAAAAATAATAATAAAATCACTGACAATATCACGCATACCCAAGGTCATACTTGATCCACTTTTCATGATTATTATTATTTTTTTCTATTAAATATGATGTTATGTGACAGATCCAGTTATCCGCCTGGCTTAATGGATATGCGCAGAGAAAAAAAAAAATACGTGCCCGCCATCACGGACTCACAAACAGGACAAATGTATTCATAATTCTATTGTGATACGCAGTAGTAATATCTAATTCTTATAGCTTACAAAAATCTACTCTAGCAGGTTACATTTACAAAGACAACGACGAAATATTTCTACACAGTATTTGCAAGGAAAAAAAATGACACGTGTTTCTTTGAGGGAAAAAATGTCAAGACTAAATCAGTTTTAAGAGTGAACGTTTTCAATACAATGAAGTGTTTTTGACAGAGCTTGAGAGCAAGCAAGTCTCGCGAGATGGATCCTGGTTGTTGAGCCCACGTGGGAAATTCCACTTGGTTCGCTTGCAATTGCTTCCGGCCGCATTCCCTTTCATTGGCTCCTGGCATCGCTCATTA